CTACCATCTTCCCTTGGATTGGATTGGATTGGATTGGGTTGGATTGGATTGGATTGGATAGGGTATTAGGGTTATTATAGATTGGATTTTGTATTTTGGATTTTGGATTGGATAGAGTTCTGAGAATTTCTGTGGCCATGCACAGTCTGAAGCTGCACGGGAGAGAGAGGAAGCAGCAGCCGCCGCAGAGAAGGATCTGGACGGCACACTGGATCGCCAGGACATCACCCACCAAGACCACCCACTCAACATGGTCTCCAACAGCATCTGGAATCAGTACTTTCAGGTCTGTATTACTCGTCCTTGTAGGCTGTTCACGGGCCTCGCCACACAGCAAAGGAAACAATAATCAAATGACTGTATCTTGCCACCTTGTGGCGGGGCTCTATGCCCTTCTTTTCGTTCCCCTGGTTGCATGACTTCTTCGACTTTTTGTGCTTGGTTTCCACCTGTCTTGTCCTGTTAAGTGTTGTGATGAAGCAAATCTGTCCACAAGCATGATTCTTCGTGCACTCGGAACCGTCTGTGACAATGGTGTCTCTCTCTCTCTCTCTCTCTCTCTCTCTCTCTGTGTGTGTGTGTGCCCAGCCTAGCCTTCAGGTCTCGAGTTCAGTTGTTCCCAGTCTAGCCCTCAGGTCTGGGAGCTTGTGCCCAGTTTAGCCCCTCAGGGTTTGGAGGCGCTTGTGCACTGTCTAGCCCTCAGGTCTCTTGAGCTTGTCCCCAGTCTACTCCTCAGGTCTCTTGAGGTGGTGCCCAGTCCAACGTTCGGCTCTTCGAGCTTGTTTGTTCCCAGTGTAGCCCTCAGATCTTGGTGTGCTTGTGCCGAGTTGGACCCTCGGTCTAGTCCTCAGGTCTTTGAGCTTGTGCCCAGCCTACCGTCTGCGCTCAAATACAACAACGTCTGGGTATTATCACAGTATCTGGACAGGAAGTTGCCCCAAATACAGCTATAATAACCGGGCGTTGTATTCGGGTGAAGACGGTAGCATACAGGTGTTGGATTTGTTTGTTCCCTGACTACCAGCCCTCAGGTCTTGGAGCTTAGTGCCCAGTTTGGCCTCAGGTTTTCGAGGTTGTACCCAGTCTAGCCCTCAGGTCTTCGAGCTCATGCCCATTCTAGTCCTCAGATATCGGAGCTTGTGCCCAAATCTAGTCCTCAGGTCTTGGAGCTTGTGCCTACCATCTTCCCACAAACACAACCTACCCTCATTTTGCCTGCACCCAACCGGAAACATGGCTTGTGTACATTCATTAACAGGTTGTGTTGCGTTCGGGGGAAGATGGTAGTCTAGCCTGCAGGTCTCGGAGCTTGGGCTACCGTCTTCCTCAAACACAACGCACCCATGCACCCTCATTTTGGCTGCACCTGATTGGAAAGATGGCTTGTATACATTCATTATCAGGGTGCATTGTGTCCGCGGGATTCGGTACGGTAGTTTTAGCCCTCAGGTCTTTGAGCTTGTGCCCAATTTAGCCCTTAGGTCCAGGAGTCTGTGTACTCTTTTGCTCACGCGTTGATATAAAGGGCCAGAGTGTACAAGCTCTATGAGACCTAAGGGCTAGACTGAGATTTCCTTGTCTATCTGATGCTGGGGCAAGTTTTATACTACCGCCTTCACCCGAATACAATGTACGGTTGTTATAGCTGTATTTGGGCCAACCTGGAGTGTAGATACAGCAGTAATGACCGTGCGTTGTATTTGGGTGAAGAAGGTAGGTTGGACAAAGATCTGGGAAGGTTGTTCCTGGTTCAACAAAGATTACACCTGGTTCTAAGATTATCAGAACTTTCTTAACAGCCCCCGCCACCATAACCCCCTTTGTATGCATCAGATGTGGACATCTGGAAGGCGTCCAGACCCAGGTCCAGGTCTGATCTTAATAATCTTTGGGTATGAATCTGGTCTGGATAATGTCCGGGTACAGGTCTGATCTGGATAATGTCTGGATTTTTTTTAGATGTTTGTTGGGAATTTGCCATGGTGATTGTGCAATGCTTGGACTTATTATTATACTTGTGCAATGCTTGGACTTGTTCTTATACTTGTGCAATGCTTGGAATTATTATTATACCTGTGCAATGCTTGGAGTTATTATTATACTTGTGCAATGCTTGGACTTATTATTATACTTGTGCATTGCTTGGACTTATTATACTTGTGCAATGCTTGGACTTATTATTATACTCAGTTACTAACAAGTACTGAACGGATTTCACGCCGTCTCAGTGTCCCAAGTCCTGGTCCCAAAGTCCCGTTTTGGTCCCAGTCCCAGAGTCCCAGTTGCTACCAGTGCCAGGGTCCCGATTGGTCCCAGTCCTAGGGGTCCTAGTGGTCGGTAGAAGCCCGGTAGGGTCCGGTAACCAAGGCATCGTAGGCTGGTGCGAGGCAGGCCAGTACCGGGTACCCAAAGTCCAAAATTGCATAGCATCCCAGAAAAGTCGGGAGGCTTTCGGAAATCAAGCAACTGCAGCCGACAGGCGGCGGGGACCGATACCGGTCCAGAACAGGCAAACATCAAGTGAAGATCCTATGTTTAGCTGCTACACTGCAGCTACAGTGACTCTCCAGACAACATGTCAGTTTGCGGCATTGTGGAAGCGCTGCTGAATGCTTGTGTGACGGTTCGCAACGTGTGCACGACTGGCGCTGACGAAGGAGGAGGAAGGCCGCGCCGTAGCTAGGGTTACGGAGATAGGTGAACGCAGCCATAGCCGCAGTAGGAGGAAGGTAGACGAAGGTGGGTGTATTCAGCGAGCGTGAGAGAGAGAGAGAGAGAGAGAGAGAGAGAGAGAGAGAGAGAGAGAGAGAGAGAGAGAGAGAGAGAGAGAGAGGGAAGTGAGCTCATACCTGTCCTGTTGACGGCGAAGAAGGGGGGATCGCAGCCATAGCCACCACTGTACATGAACTCAATCTTTGTATAAAATATATATTGATGTTTTGAAGTGCTTTCTGGGTCGTGGAATTCTCTTTGAGCAATCTCATGACCGTGTGGCTCAAGTTGTGAGCTTTTTCTGGTCCCAAACTCCCGTTTTGGTTCCAGTCCCAGAGTCCCAGTGATGTGTGAGCACGAATTGAGAGGTTGAATTGAATCGGGGTCCACTGCATTCGTAACAACTGACAAGTAAACAGACCCTTCGTTTGCTTACAGGATGCAGAGTTGGCAGAACAGATTGATAGAGATGTGAAGAGGACTCATCCAGACATGCACTTTTTCAATAGTGGTGATGAACAAGCGGAGGAGAACCAGGTGAGCTGTTCATTGGCTCCCTCCATTTCTTTGTTCGCCTTTTAATTCCGTTTCCTGTTTTCTTTGTTTCGTTCATTTTATCGTCCTTTGTTTTGTTGCGAGAAGCAGTGAAGAGGAACGTCAGAACGCACATCGGTACGGATGTGCATTTCCTTTTTGCCCATTCTGTGTCAGAGAGGTCACAGAATGGGCGAGGGACCCTCAGTACGAAGGACAGGCATGGAACAAGAGAAAGACAGCTTTGGGGCAAGGGGGGGTAGAGAGAGAGAGAGAGAGAGAGAGAGAGAGAGAGAGAGAGAGAGAGAGAGAGAGAGAGATTCCATCTTCCGCTGCCTCCCCCATCTCCTCCGAAGCCTCCTATCACCTTCGTGCACCTCCCCCCAGCTTTTCGTGGACACCCATCTTTTGCTTTTTTTCAGGGAGTCTGCTGTTGGAACCTGATCCAACAACCTGTGAGAGAGAGGGGGGGTGGGGGGGGTGGGGAGGGAAAAGAGAGAGAGATAAAAAGTGCCTCCTCCACCGTGCCCCCAGGCTCCAGCACCTTCCCCCCCTTTTCCCCACCCTTTCCCCCCTCCTTGCTGTTGGTGCCACCTGCTATCTTTAGTTTGTGATCTTATTCTTGAATCTAATGCCAATACCTTCAACTCTGTGTGTGTGTGTTTGTGTGTGTGTGTGTGTGTGTGTGTGTGTGTGTGTGTGTGAGAGAGAGAGAGAGAGAGAGAGAGAGAGAGAGAGAGAGTCATCACCCGTCATATTTTGTTTGTGAGCAAAGCCACAACAGGTCACATCTAATATATCAAAATTGAAAATTCGTCATTGTCACACCATCACAGCTCCCAAATTCGGTCTTTATGTGGGGTGGACGGCCCTCTCATTTTCATATGAATAAAAAATAAAAAGAGGGCTTAAAAAAAAAAAAAAAAAAGAAAGAAAGATCAGATCTCTGATTGTCCACTGGTCAATGGATGGGTGACTGAGGGGCTGACTTATATCACTACCCCCAAAAAGTTTGCGAAAACGATTCCCCAGCCTCATAACTGAATTTGGATTGGAACAGGGCTTGCATACATTTATGATGAGGGGGCATCACATTTTGGGGAAGAAGGTAGCTGCAGGGGATATTCCAAAGATTCCAAACTTAGAAGAACTGAAATTCTGGGCACTCCCTGTCGGAGCCCCCTGATGCACTTGTTCTTTGGTGTAGGGTCTCACAAGCTGCTGTGCTCTGAGCAAAACTTGGAGGGTGGGTGCCTGCTGCACCCTTGAACCCTCTGCACAAGCGCTTCAGGACCACCAACAAAACGTTTGCCTTGCCCTTGCCTCCTCTGCCAGGCGCACATTCCAAGCAAATTGGATCTCTGCCCAAACGGATTCTTGTAAGGGACCGAGGGTGAGTGAGAATATGTCCTCCGTTCCGTTCCGTCTCGTTTCATTTTCGTTTCGTTTTTGTTCATTTTGTATCGTCTCGTTTTTGTTGATTTTGTATCGTTTCATTTTGTCAGTTCCTTACTCATTTGAAGATGTGTTTCTTTTCTCCCCCTTGTCTGGTTGCTAATATTTCCCCTTCTTTGAAGTTTGAAGTTCTTTCCCTGAAAGAGTAAACCTTGCCTGCTGTGTATGGTATGGTGTCTGCTGGCGGTGGAGGCAACGAGGACGCAAAATGGCAGGCAGCAGCCCCGCTGCCCATCTATGGTGGTTAATCCAGCAGTGGTTAGGGTAAAGGAGAGTGTGTGTGCTCAAAACTACCATTTTTCCCGATTGCGTATCTCTGGAATCTTTTTTTTAGACTTATGCAGAAGAATCTGTACAGCAGGTAGAGCAGGGCTCAGGAAACATGCCAGGCAATGGTCCGAGCCGATGTGTTTTGGGGGTTTGGAAATGCACCTTCAGTCGAAAGAATTCTTACAGCCTTCTATTTATAGCTAACTAGTGGACCCGCCGTGGCCCAACAGAGGGGATAACAGAACATAATGGAGTCCGAAAGAACCGCGACTCCCGTCAGCTCTTGCAATGGCTAAGTGAAAGGGCAGCAGTATTTGGCATGGGCGGGCGATACCTGTCGGTTGGGCTCTACTCTTTGGCGCGGGCCATGCGATGTGGACTGTGGCGGTATAAGTGGGTGGGCAGTATTTTGTGACCTGGGTGATACTGTGGGTTGGGTGGTGCTATGGGGTCACCCACTTATACGGGTCAGAGGTTTTCTTTCCTTTGGGGGCAAGGGGGTGAATGGTGAACCCACGAACTGTTGATACAGAGACCCATGAACTGTTGATACAGAGACCTGAGATCAAGTCGTAAAAGAAGATGTATTAAACAATCCTGCTTCTGGACAGTCCCTTGCCTTCTTGGGGATGGTATGTAGTATTTGTGTTCGAGCGAACAGGCTTCGCCGTGCCAATGCACAACACTATGTGCTTGTATTCAAACATTCGTCCGGGGATCCTGAACTACCCATTTACCAGCGCCGCACGGTCAACTGGTACCGCCACCTCGCCAGTTTTTCCTGGGCCCGGGGGGGGGGGGGGCCGGGGGGCGTCAGCTGAGGACCGCTTTTGTGACAAGGCTGAGGCAGAGCAGCGAGGCCGGGGAGAGAGAGGGAGGGAGTGAGAGCACACACACACACTCACTCGACTCGACACAGACTCGAAACGACTTGACGGACGCAGACACAAAGTGGCAAAGTCGCAATCTTGGTTCCGAACACAATGTCGCAGCAAGTCACACTGAAGCACAAGCACTGAGGCCGAAAACTGAATCCCCTAACTCAGCTTGAGTCCGGTCTTAAGTACCGGACTCAAGTTGAGTCCGAGGGCAGAAGTGCAATTTGCCTCGGGGCTGAACTGAAAATCGAAGGTCTGAGCCTGGGCGCCAGAATGCCGGATGGCACCAAGTATCGAAATCCGAAAGTGCCAGAGGCGGGATTTGAGAACGGGCGCCAACTGCAGAGGGCGCCAAGAGTCAGGAACTGGAGATCAGAGACTCAAAAAAAAAATAGAATAGCAGCCTGGCAGGTGGTAACCCGCGGACCATGGATCGAGCCCTGGCTTAGTCCGTAACACTATCCCCTCCCTCTGGAAGGCAACGTCCCGGATGCCAAAGACCCAATGAACAACTGTGAAGGACGGGGCGGGGCCGATCACTGGTCAGAAAAGGAAAGGGGGAGTAATGCCAGTAGCAGGGTAATCCTATGGGGGTTCTACAGGGATGAGGGAATCAATGTTCAAGTAACAGGGTAATCCTATTGAGGTTCTACAGGGGTGAGGGAATCAATGCTCAAGTAACAGGGTAATCGTATTGAGGTTCTACAGGTAACAGGGCAGTCCTGTTGGTGTTCTACAAGGTTGTAGGTTGTCAGGTTTGAGAAAAAAAATAAAAAAAATTGTTTGTTCAATGCTCAAGTGCTGCGGTGTCTGATGAGATCTGGGAAAACAACGTCTCAGGTCTGTAACAAGGTGTCAGAGGCGAAAAATGTCTTGAAGAAGGTCTTGCAGGGTGTCGCAGAAGTGGCGGTGAGGAAGCAGTCTTCAGCAGTTCTGTGATATAGACGGCGAGGGCTCCAGCTTGATTGTCCCAGTAGCAGGTTGCGTCCGGTACACAGTCTGATGATGAGGTCTGATCTGGATAGCAGGTCGCAGACTGATCTTGATGTCCATGTCAGAGGTGCTGCTCCAGAAGTCTGCGAGTCCAAGGCGCCGGCCAAAGGGAACAGCACGGTGGCCAACCAGCTGTCTTATCTCCTCGTACTGATCTGCAGCATGCCATCGTCCTCGTGCGCTTGCCATTAGATCCATTATCGGCAGGGGCCACAACGAGAATTTGGACAAGAGAGACAAGGATGTGGCGGAGGACAGATGGGGGAACGGGGCAAGGCGGAGGCGAGAGCGGATCAGACAGGGGGATATCAAGGGGCAAGGGGTTGCTGGGTGTAGGGGATGTGTGTAGTGCAGGGAGGCAGGATTGAGGCAGGGTTGAGGCAGGGTTGAGGCATAGTGGGTAGCTAGGATATAGAATGGTGGTGATCATAGGCGCGAACAAGTTTCATAGCGTTTTTGAGATTAGAGAGGTTCCCATGTGGATTCTTCATCAGGGTATCTTGTCCATTTAACTTCGTATTCTGTGATTGGTTCAGGTTGGTCAGATACCTGAGTAGTTCTTCGTCCTATGATGGCTTCGACGACAACTTCATGGCCTGTGGGTAACATGATTGGTGGAGGTCTAGGATATGGGCGGTCATCGAATTTGGGTGGGGATTCATGCTATTCTTTTAGGTATTCTACGTGGAAGACAGGGTGGACACGACTCATGTCAGGGGGGAGTTGGAGTTTGTAGTTGACGGGGGAGGTTTTTTCAATGATGGGGAAGGGTCCGAGCCACTTGTTCGAGAGTTTCTTTGACAAGTCGTGTTCGGGTTCAAAGCGTTTGGCGGAGAGCCAGACTTTGTCCCCTTTTTTGAATGACACGTCATGTCTGTGTTTGTTAGTCTTGTTGGCTTGTTGTTCTTGTGTTCATTCAAGGTCTTCGGTAGC